AGGCAACGGGGGGGAAACCCGGCGCTGCCTCAGCAAGCCCCAGCTGTTCGGGCGCAGGGCGCCGCGTGCAGGCGGCGAGGGCGCTCTCAGCCTTGGTTGAGCGGGGTGGGCGGCGGGGCGGCGGGCTCCGCACTGATCACAGGGCCGGGTTAGATGACCTCTGAGGCCGCTTTCTACCCTACGATTCGGTTTAATTAGGTGCCTGGTTAAGCCATTAACATATTCTCTGGCTCTGCACAGTATATCGGACCATGAACTGATTGGGTTAGGATTGCTACAGAAAAACAAACATTAACTGAGGTTGGCCTGTTGTGGGAATGCAGACCCTGCTTCTCAATTTTTTCTTAACTCACTCTTTCCCAGAATGCCCTGCGGACTTCTGCTCTTTTCATCCTGGCTGAGGATGATGGCAGCTGTAGTTCAGGAGGGCGTCTGGCTGGGAAAGGCTGGGCCAGTTTTGCACTGCCTTTCCCCGCCTTTCTTGTCCCTCCCGCTCCTGTCTCAAGTTTAAACAAGCTTTTTAAGCAGGGTGACTGCTCCGGGCCGGCCAAAATCAGTCACATAACATTTTTAAAAGCAATTAAAAAGGCCGTAGAGAGAGAGTGGCAATAAAAGCTTGCATCCATCCTGCAAATTCTCTGGGGGACCGGGGCTCCGGTTCTCCTTCTCCGTGCGGAAAGCTATAAAAGTAATAATTGATCTTCTAACTAATAGTTACCTTGCTGTTATTATATAAGGGGCTCAACCTGAATTTGAGCAGGCTATATGAACCAAGTGGGAAAGGACCTTCTCCAAAGGCTGGGCTAGAACAGAGAAGCGCGTCTCCCCAGCCTCCAGGTACCAGGCAGGGGAAGATAGGAGATGTAGTCCAACGCATTTGGAAAGCACTGGTATAGAGATGTTGTCCTCCAGGGAAGTCAAGAGGGGAGGACTTTAGGGCCAATTGTGTCCATCTTCCCTTGTCCCATCAGGGCCCTGCAAGCCTCCCAGTGTGGAGGGCACCAGGTTGGGGAATGCAGCATGGCAAAGAAGTCTTTGGGCAAGTCAGGTGCTCCTGAGCTGTTATCCCTCACTTCTGTTGGCCAGCAAGTGGTGCTCAGCCACATGTAAGCCGCTGGACTTTGAGACGGGCAAAAATGATGTCATCTATTAGAAATCCAGATTTTCTCTTTAGGGAGGGGTTGCAGAAAGTGGCATTTCTTTTGCCTTTATTAATTTCCGCACCTCCTTTCCTCAGGGGATTTTGGGGCTGAGTGGACATTGAATTTGCCTCCCTTTTAGCCCCCAAACCACCTTCTCAGAGAGGCAAGCCTGTGCTTTATCACTGGGCAGGTGTTTCATCTAAACTCAGTTCCCCCAGGCTCAATGCTGGTGTTGAAAGCCAGCTTTCTTTTCCCCACGACCCTTGCAATCCCTTGGATTAAAACTCCCAAATGCCAGGTGGGTTTGAAACCAAATGTTGCAGCGCAGAACTTTATAGGCAGTGCAACGCCCTGATTTTTCCATCAGCAGTCAGCAGTCCACAACCAGTGAGCGTGCTCGGCCCATCATTCAGGTTTTGCCCTGGCCCTGGCCGGCTTCCCCTCTCCCAGGTGCTGCACCACTGGCATAAAGACAGGTCTGAGCAGGGACATGTTGTAGGTTCTCAGCTGGGGATGGGAGCCAGCTTTAATCCTTCATTCCCCACTTTGGACTTGGTTTAGGACCTGGATCTTATTGAGCTGGTGCTTTTATTTTGCCGTTGGAAGCCTTGACACTCCACCGTTCAGCCAAAAAGGCTCCGGGAGGAGCTTTCAGATCAAGAAAGATATGATCTCTGCCTTTGGTTTTACAAGCTCAAAATAGATACCACATGAAAGGAGAAAGGGAAGGGGTGGGCAAAGGAAAACAACAGATACCCAGGTATTAGTTCTGAAATCATACATTATCATCTCCCATGGCTTGGTGGATGGCTCTAGGATGGCCATGTGCCATTTAAAAGAAATCATAATCTTTGCTTGTTAGCAGAAAAGAAGGTTATGGAAAAGGGGAATGGTGAATTTCTCTAGGCCAGTGTTTCTCAACCTTGGCAACTTTAGGCTGTGTGGACTTCAACTCCCAGAATTCCCCCCCCACCCTTGCTGGGTGGGGGAATTTTGGGGGGTGAGTCCCCCCCCTTTTAAAACGCCACGGGTGGGGAAAAC